GCATGCATGCATGCATGCATGCATGCGTGTGTGCAACCTATTTAGAAAGTAAATTCCAAGCCTTTCAAGAGCAGCAAGTAACTCCCCCCAACTAGGTGATTTTATTTGCAGGGCATAAAGGGCCAAAAGGAGAGGGACAGTTCTGAGGGCCATATCCAGACTCTGGGTCACAAGTCGCCCACTCTTGTGGTTTAATATATCACTGTTCTTGACACGTAGGATTTCATTTCTACAGGAGATGCCTGTTTCATCCAGCATGGTCCACTGTGTGTCCTTTTGACAGATCATTAGTTGGCTGGATAGATTGGTGGTTTAGATACCTGGCTGTGGAGCCAGAGGTTGGGACTTTGATTCTCCACTGTGCCTCCTATGAGTAGAGCCAGCCTCTGTGGCCTTGGGCAAGCGACACATTCTCAGGATGTTCCCAGAAGGGGATGGCATACCTCTTCTGAATATTCTCTACCTGGAAAACCCTGAAACCCAGAATTGACTTGATGTCACATCATTATGATGATGATGATGATGATGACTGATCATGGCAGGTTGTAGGGGACCAATGCCAAGAGCAATTAAGACTACTTGAGTTTAGAGATGGGCACAAAGCCCAAAAGGAATCAGGAAATTTGTGAAAACTGCCAGTTCATTGCTTTGGATCGGTTCAGGTTTGTCCAAACTGGAGAACCCAAACTTTCCTGAAGCTACGAATTTTGGGGTGATTTACAAACCTAATGGTTTTCTGGTGCCCTAGCTATACCATTATCCAATATGAGTTATAGCATTTCCAGGTGCAATTCATGAACATTTTCAGAATGAGGGGCTGTAAAAGAAAGGAACTTTGTGAAATTGATGCAATTATTTTACCCTCTCTTTTTTATTATTACGATACCTGATGTATCCCTCAACACTGCTCTGTCCTCGCAGCTGGTCCTCCATCAGGTATGTGTTATGAGAGGAGGAGATAAAGTAATGGCAGAGGGGTTGAGACATGTCCTGGAAGACCTTCCTATGCTCAGGATTGAAGATGGAGCCATCAGGTGAATACAAGTACATGAGGAACCCATCAATGCTCAGGACATGGCGAGCCTTGGCTGTGGGGAGAAAGGGCCAAAGACAAGAAAACAACTGCATCAAGGGGTAGGCCTATGCAACACAAAGGCACGTCCATGGAACTAAAAATGCTGAAATGGACAGAGCTGATGAAATAGAAGCCTTGGGTGGCCCAAGGGAAAGTGGCTACCTTCGTAGTTCCTATGGCAAGCTGTGCCATGACATGGATACAGGCAGTGACAAACGGTTCATGGAGGCATGCTTGAACAAAAGTCAGGCAAATCTCCTCCTAGCCTCACTGTCCGGGAGCTCCTGTTCTTGGAGGCCTTGGAATTACACATAAAGATCATTGAAGACTTGAAGGGGGGGCACAGCTCAGAGGAAAAATAGATGGCTTGCATGTAGATGGTCTCAGGTGCAGTCTCCAGGTAGGGTTTCAAAAGATTCCTGCCTGAAATGCTGGAAGGCAGCTACTACTCTGAATCAGCTGTACCAAGCTAGCTGGACCAATCATCTGACTTTGCACAAGATAGCTTCCGATGACTTCATGTTGATTGTTCTAACTTTGGATGATTGGCCACCTATGGATCCACAAGTCCTCCTCCTCACCCACCTGTCTCAGATGGCTCAAATCTGTCAATCAGCTCCATGGCAAGCTCATCAGTGCCATCAACCTCCATCTGCTCTTGCTGCAAGAAGTCCACAAACTCCAGCAGCGTCAGCTTCTTGCTGTCTTCCGAGTACTGCTGGAAGATCTCAAGCACTTCATCCCGCTGAGTGAGTGCTTTGTAGAACAGCACAAACTCCTCCCCCTCCAGCGTCCCTGATTCAGATTTGTCAGCCATCTGCAAGGAATGGAGGGGTCTCACCAGTGCATAGCAAGTAGAACAGAGGCAATCAAAGCAATGCCACAAGGGGTTGGTGATCCAGGTGCCGCTAACACACATAGAACAGAGGCAATCAAAGCAATGCCACAGTGATCCAGGTGCCACCCTTGAGACATATGGGTGGTTTTACTACAGCACTGACTGTGCACTAGATGTTATTTATGACATTGGTCAGCATGACCTTTCCCAAGAGAGAAATAAGCTTTACACCATATTATTCATCAACCAGTGTTGCGTATTAGCCAAAACAAGAGCCATGCTGGACCAGATGAAATGTTTAATTGGTCATTTTGTTCCCATAATGCCCAACCAGTTATCTATGGGGAATGAAGTTCACCTGTGTTTAATTGGTCATTTTGTTCCCATAATGGTCAACCAGTTGTCTATGGGGAATGAAGTTTACCTGCAGGACAAGCGCAAAACAGGATGCTCCTGTTCATGCCCACTAGCCACTAGTAATGGGAGGCGCATTGCCTCTGACATGAAGTTGACATATAGCCTTGTGCTACATTAAATCTTTTTTCAAGAATTCTGTTCTCAGTTAAGACATGCATGACACACATTCTAAACTAGAAAATGTTTTGTTTCCAGGACTCTTATCAGGAAAGTGAACTAATAAACAAGAGCCACTAGTAATGGGAGGCGCATTGCCTCTGTCATGGAGTTGACATATAGCCTTGTGCTTCATTAATTTTTTTTAAGAATTCTGTTCTCAGTTAAGACATACATGACACACATTCTAAACTAATGTAGAAGATGTTTTGTTTCCAGGACTCATATCAGGAAAGTGAACTAATAAACAAGACAAGGGAATGTCTCTTGCTGCATCATAGCCATAATTACTGCTCTACAAGTGCAGGATTTTCAAGATCTTTTGAGTTCTGCTTTTACAAGCTCTGTGGATTCAGTTGATGGGAGAGTGACAGTGAAGCCAAGCAATGCATCTCTTGAAAAGACTCTCTCCTATCATCATTCAGTGCAGTGGACAAGTCGGTAGAAGCACAGTTACTTTGGAGCAGTTTTAACCTGTAGATTTGATGATCAGATGCTAATCTATATCAGCCATCCATCACTAGGTATACTTCAAGACGATGGACTACATCTCCCACTCTTTATGGGTGGGGATATATTCCAGTATCTGGAAGGCACCCAGATGGGTAAGTCTGGTCTTTATCACTGAGTATAATAGACAAGGCATTCAAATGAGCAGGGAGACACCATTGGAGGCGTGTTCTGATGTGGACGAGACATGAAGCTGGAAAACAGACCAGACAATTCAAGGATACACATTCTACACAGAGAGAGCATAATAATGTGGCATATTTGCAGTAAGGCTTAGGAACTATGAGTGCTAATGTAGCTCTGAACAGAGTGAGACGTTAGCATAGCACAGTAACCTCCTTGTTGTAATCCAATTCTATATTTTTTTCCCATTCTGGCACAGAGGAAATTCACCTGGAAGAGTCGGAAGGCATGGTCCTCATTCATAGCCACATTCATCATCCTGAGTAAGTGTTGCACCTCCTTGAAGTTCATGCGCCCATCCTTGTCTTTATCAGCTTTCAGGAACCAGTCACAGATCCATGTGCAGCCCAAGATGCAGATTAAGGAAAACAGACTCAGAGGATCATGAGCAGAGTTACGTCTTAATCAACAAAACTAGGACACGTGTGTGTGTGTGTAGGTAAGCAGAATCAGACTTCATCCTACTTAAATCAGTTCCATTAATCAATGCAACACACTGGTTGTTGCACTGATTAATGGAAGTCCCATATATTTCACTACATGTTAATGTGATGGAGTCTGGACCCAAAGCAGTTTCACCTTTTTGTGGGAGTAAGCAATGAAATCATTAGTGGACAATTGGAGATAAGGATATTGATCTATCTTCTCCCTTTGGTCCATGTTCGTGACAATTTCCACCAAGCGCCGCAGGCCTTGGATCCAACACTGTGCTTCCTCAGCTGAGCCAGCAATTAAGTCTAGGTTGCTACGGCGGCCATGGAAGACAACGGTGAAACAGCACTCATTTGGGAACTCCTCAGCTAGACTCTGCAGCACCTCTGACTGGTGCCCCTCACGAACTGTCTCCACATCACTCACTGAAACTTGAGAGGAGAGGACAACCAGAAATAATCAGCCATTTTGTAAAAGATTCCGCTTATGTTACAAAATTAAGCCCTGGCTTTTTAATTGGACTCTAAACAGGAAACAGCAGCACAATGACCTCTCCATATTCACCTATTAAATCTAATCAGCCTGTCTAATTCTACTTGTCCATTCACTCTATACATGCCCTCCTGGAGAAACAGTGTCTGTCTTGGGCTTGTGCTTCAAAGAACAAACGTTTTCAGAAGAAGACAAGTAATGCCATTTTTTTCAGCAAATTATTGGTGGAACATAATAAAACAAATAAAGGCATTTTTTTCAGCATAAATCCATGGTGGAATTATCAGAATCAGCTAAGACAGAGCAACGGGGTAAGAAGTACTTCCAAAAGGACATAAAATGTCTCAACCCTGAAGCCCACTTTGTCTATTACTGTATCCCTATCTGCTCATGATTCGCACCACTACAGCATATGTATAAATATAAAGGACATGTATTTGCACTCCTTGTGTCTAAAGAAGTGGATGCTAACCATGAAAACTCACACTGAAATAAATCTTACAACCTTTAAAGTACCATGGTGTTTTGTCTTTTTTGTCTCTATTTGCTTTTGCTTTTTCACCTTTAATTACACCATCGGTAAATGAAAGCATCCAATACTCAAACAAGAGCACAAGTGCAAGGAGGACTTAAACGTCCATTGCCTGGAACTGAATCCAAATGAAAACTAGCACTTAGCAATGCATTCTACTTCATCTCCAGATGAAGAAGTTTGAGTTTCTTCAGTCACTTAAAGTGGATCCAAAACATTTTGGTGACTAAGGGTGCGATTACACTATTAAAATGAAAAGGAAATAGACTAGGGTTTTTAAAATCAATTTAAAGTCATGTGACATTGGTGTCACATTGGTGTCACATTTCCTCTTGGGAAAACTTTTAATCCTTTTTAAACTGTGTTGTACATCCGTTGCGAGGGCTACATTGGCTTTTAGAATTGTTGCATCTGAGGCTTCATCCTGATCCCACCCTTGTGCTGGCTGCCTTTTACAGCCACTTGCAGCTGTAGCTGCTGTGGTATTTTTTATTATTTAGTTAACTTTTTTATTTCTTTCAAAGTGTGAGATAGTGCTGGTTCAATATTACAGACTGAAAAAAAAAGAAAATAGATCAGATTGTAAGGTGACCATGCAGTGGACACACAGTGGTAGAGAAGGAGAAGGAAGCGAAGGAACCAGCAGTTTGGTTTAGCAAGAGGGAATACACACCACTGAGTGGCAAAGAGAAGTTGAGCAGAGAAAGTGACAAGCATGGCAGCTTCTAGGCTTCTGAAGGAGGGAACACTTTCCCCCACCCAACCTTTCTCTCTCTGCTGGCTCTCTTTTCTGATTTTTAAAAAAACCTAAGACATACTTCTGTTCTTCTGATTCCCTCTGGCTTTGATTCCAAGCAGGAGGAATGAAGGCAGAGCAGAGAGCTGAGAGGCTCTGACACAGGTGAGCACACATATCTCTCACAGCCACTTGCCACTACCACAAGGATTTTATGTTTTATTTCTTTCAAAGTGCCATAGCACTAGTCCAGTATTTCAGATATATAATAAAACTTATTTATAAAATATATACAAACAGATAAGACTGCAAGGTTTCCCTGCTGCCCAAAACCTGTGGTCCTGGAATCCAACACTTGGTAAACCTGACAGACAGACACAATTTACTCTGACACAGATGAGAACACATGCCAAAATGACTCAAAACAAATTATGTTTACAATTGATTTAAAATAAATAGACCCCCCAAGGCTGTTTAAAATACCCTATTTTCTGAACAAACAAACAAAATGCTTCTTGGCCAAAACAAATGCTCACTCAGCTGTGCATCATGTAAATGGATATTTTAAAATTGATTTCAAGCATTCTAAACCGGACACAAACCCAGTATTTTTTTTCAACATCTGACCACACCCTAAGATGTAAAATGTATCCCTTCAAGATATTTTTTTTCAAAATTAATTAGCTGGCAATTTTCTTATTTTACACCTGCTGCCTGAGGTCAACATCTCCCTCTGCCTGATGACTAGGCCCATCTCTATATCAGATGGGAAAGGCAAGCTCAGAACATCTTAGGATTCACCCATACTGTGTATCTCTGTTTTCTTAGACTTCTAAACTAACCAACAGAGAGAACCCATGGCTCAGAACATATCATGCACATAGGCTGAAACACACGGATGCATGGATAATGTTGCTTAGGCAATCTTTATCTTCTCCACTGTGACTGTGTTGCAGCTCCGAAACTGTGCAGTCCAGCACTTTAGAGCAAGCTAAGTAGTCTTTGCTCTATCTCCACGTTACTGTGTATACTGAATCCTACACATGGTCGCTATTGCCAGACTTTCATTAAGCAAATTCATACACATAGACTGGGGCAATCTGAAAATGCACTACACTTCTGAAAAAATCCCTATACTATACTATACTATACTATACTATACTATACTATACTATACTATACTATACTATACTATACTATACTATACTATACTATACTATACTATACTATACTATACTATATGGCTGTTTGCTAGGAACCAATTTTGTTGTCAACATTCAGATCGCAGAGATGAACTCACATGCAGACTTGGCCTTGCCAGACATCTTGGACTTGTACCAAATGGTCATGCAGTCCTCCTTTAACATGAAGTACCGTTGTTTCTTCCAGTTTTTGGACTTCACCTTGCGCATCATTGTCCCCTCCTGCATCCGTTCCATGTTCTCATCCAGCTGAAAGCCTAAGCCGGGACAGAAGGGCAGGCATTGTGAATCGGGACATTTGCTCCAGGACATGGAGCAAATACGTCATTACCATCTGAGATATTCCATTTATGGGATGCTCTCCATAAAGAGATCTGTCTGACATTGTAATCTTTTGGTTCCAATAAGGATATTTGAGTACCTTATACATTTTACTCTGGTTCCCCCCCCGCCCCCCAGTTTTTGTGAATGGTTTCAGTGTTTAAATGCTGATTTATTATTGTTCCATTTTGAATTCATTTATTTCAATTCATTCATTCATTCATTCATTCATTCATTCATTCATTCATTCATTCATTCATTCATTCATTCATTTTAAATTGTACATTGACCTGAAAATAAAATATGGTAAAAAATAGTATATAGATGTTTCGAATAAAATAAACATTCACACATGTTGAGCACCCACAAAATGGTTGCAATTTCTGAAGGAACATAAGGATGAGAACTTAGAAAATCAGATATTTCCAAGGAAAGGAATAGTTCCGAAGCCAGTCCATGACTGCTCACATCTTCTCCTTCAGACACATAAGCAGAGACACTAGTCATGCCTCCAAGTGGGCAGGAGTGGAAGAACTTAAGGAGAAAAATATTGTATCTCGAGCGAGTGACCAGGAGTCAACACTCCATGACTCCCCTTACAGTTCCAGAAGATACTCACGGGCACCGTAGAGAACAGAAGTCATGATCCCTCCTTTGTTGGGTTGGCACAGCTGTTACCTACAACACAAGACAGAAAGAGAGAGAAGAAAGAGTTGAAAGAAAAAGCGGTCTGGGATGATAGATGGCTCCCCCCCTCTAGCTTTTAAAAGATCTTCAATTCAGTGAACAGCAACAATAACATTTGCAACTGAGACTGGAGAAAGAACAGTTTGTTCTAAAAATATACCCCCTCAATAATGATCCATTTAATGAGTTTCTGGTTAAACAAAGTAATTACGAAATCAACACTGGAAAGCCCTTTAAAATGTTATTTAGAACAAATGCACAATAATCACACTGGCCATATAGAAAGCAACAAACAAACAAACACAAGACTGCCTTCCTCAAGTTATATCACCGCCGAGCAAAACAATAGTCCACCAAGTTATTGATTAATCAGTAATAATTTATAACTGGAAACTGTACATTCGTTTCAATGGGAGAATTCAGCACATGCTTGAAATCTTGTCCCCTTATAATGAATGGTGCTCAAAGGCCATTCCACTGTTAATTGGGAAAAGATCTTGTCAAATAGGAAAAGAGCAAAGCAAATAGCAACAGCAAAAAAAACAGACCAAAACAAAACATTCAACTCAGGTAAGAAAATCTACTGTTTGGGACACTACCTGAACCTCCCAGCTGATATGGTTATTGGTCATGCTACCTTGAAGATTTCTGAGAGCTGTAGTCTCCGTACGTGGCAATAGATTTCAGCTCAGATGGGTAGTATTATTGCAGGAAATGATCCCAGAGGTTGGCTATTTCTCTCAAAGTGTACTGGAACCTACTAGTAATCACGTCTCTACTGCAAAAGCTATATTCTGGGAAATCAGTTTTGTATGTTTCTGAGGTAAGAAATCCTTACAAATACAATTGCTCTGCCTCTAGAGGTGCTTTTGTTTTTTGTTTGTTTGTTTTTTGGTTGGGGTTTCTTCAATTTTTAAAACTCAGTATCAGAGCTAATTAAAGGTTTCCACTTGGGAGCCTCTGACACAGAAATGAATTCTCCACAGGAAGGCTTGCCATAAGAAAGAGACACTGCAATAGCAGCAGCAGCAACATATGCTTCAGAAGTATTCGGATTTTTAAATAGAAATGTAGCAGCTTTACTTTCGCAAACATTTCTATAAAGTAAGAGTTTTAATACCATCTCATTCTGCATGGCAGGTCCCCTTTATTAAAATATAAATGGGACCTGCCACAAAATGTCTTAATAGGGAGTCCTCTGTTTCTGATTCAGGCAGCCAGAGTCTGTTTTCGAATTCTCGGCTTCATTCCCTCTCCCTGCACGCTAGTTTTTGGTTTTGTCCTGTCCCATAAATTGATGTACGTGCCTCTAGATGCCTGGTTTGTTTTCCAGAATTTGGAAAAAAGTTCCCACTACTCTAATTTCTATGTCCTTACTTGCTTCTTCTTTGAAATAAGTTTAAACTAAACTAGCTTCATATCAAGAGCTAACTGGCTGTGAAATATTTTTTCAAATTGCTGCTACATTGAATTTCCAAAATCTGTTATCTTATTTACCTTGTTTCCAGTAGCAGCTTCTGAAAGCAATGCCTTCTCATCATGTGTCTCACAAACATCAAGGGCCAAAGTACGCAGGAATGTAGCTGTGTACTTTTTGACCCTAAATGCAGTTTGTTCATCCTTTCTGCAGGTACTGTTGGCAGATGTCTATGTAAATCATATGGGAGTGCTAGGCTTAGAGTACAGAAAGTTTTACCTCCCACCCACCCCCATGCCTGCAATTTACACTGCAAAAAAAGGGGGGGTCGAGTTCAATTTTTTTCAGATTTTTTACAAGAGTCATATACCACTCTGTCATCATTTTGACATAATTCTTCTTGAAAGCTTTCCTTTTTAAAAAACTTTCCAATACATTTGGATTGAAGCATCAGTTTGACAATCCCTGTCTCATTTTGTGAAACATAACAAGTCTGGGATAATGACTTCACTTGTTCTATTAAGATTTCTTTTAACAGGGTCAACAGTCTTAAGACTGCCTCTTCTTTGCCTAAGTTGCTCATTGCAACTCCCTGATTTAAAATACTCCAAGGGAGGAACTGGAGTCACCTTACAATCTCTTCCTAAACTCAGTGGGTCACCTTAGGACAGCGTGTGTACACTGAAGAATATTGCAAAACCTGTAACAATTTACTTAGGACTACTGTATGTTTGACCAAACAATATGGACTTGTTTCTCAATAGATATACACAGGACTGCATTGTAAATTCCTGTTTTGGAAATGCACAGTCCCATGCAGCAACACATATCTGAGTTAGAGCTGAAGTGAGCATTCTAAATAGACAGTCCTCACAAGATCCTTCTTACTTGTGTTCCAGAGATGTGATTTAGACAGATATGCCTGAGCAACCATACTCATAAGCAAAGTCTGATCAATCCAAAAACAAATCAAGATAGTCTGAAAATAATGGGAGGTATGAAAAGCTCCTGCTGTGTAGTCAGCTCTTTCCAGTACTTAAGGAATTCTTTTTTTCTAATGACGAGTTTCCAATAACTGATCTTTTTTTAAGTCTTGAATTTTATACCAATGTCAAGAAAACAAGGGGCCTGGGAAGCAGCAGCAGCTCTTTTCCAATACACAGGCTTTTCCTGAGGCATCACAAAGATAAGATCTTTACCTGTCCCACTAAAGTGGGAAGTGACATTACCATGCCTGCTTATAATATTGGTTAAGAATTAATACGTATATCTAACATATGCTATATGTGCATGTACACATGACATTTGGAGGATATTTACCTATAAGTTGTTTTCACTACTTCTGAATTTCAGAATGGAAGACAACAGAAAATTTTAAGTAAGACAAAAGTCTAAGGTCATTGAAGTCACTTTGACATTACACATAGAGTCATAGAGTTGGAAGAGAGCACTGAGGCCATCCAGTCCAACCCCCTGCCATGTGGGAACATCCATCAAAGTACTCCCAACAGATGGCCATCCAGCCTCTGCTTAAAAACCTCCAAAGAAGGAGACTCCACCACCCTTTGAGGCAGCCTATTCCACTGCCAGACAGCTCTGACCATCAGGAAGTTCTTCCTAATCTTCAGATGGAATCTTTTTTCCTGTAGTTTGAAACCATTGCTCTGTGTCCTAGTCTCTGGAGCCCTGGAAAACAAACCTGTCCCCTCCTCAACATGACATAATTTCAAATATTTAAACATGGCTATCGGCCGTTGTAACCCCCGGGAACGTGACACTATTGTAAGACCCCAAGCCAGGAAGCTTATGTGGGAGTGCCGTCGCTCCCATCACGGGCTCAGGCGACTCAGACTTCCCCTCCACCTTCCCCGCCTAGACAAGAAAGCAAGCAGGTGGATACCCAGGAATTGGAGGAGATAACTGGAGGAAGGGAACAGAAACACCAGAGGGTTGATACCAGTGACCTGGTGCAGGCACTGAAAGAGTTAAACCTTGCGGAGAAGACTGGGAAGAATTTGGCGGGAAAGGGGAGGGGGAAATTGAGGCGGGAGCAGGGGATATAAAAGAGACGTGGGAAAAGATCCCGGAGGGTTGGGAGATAAAAGAGAAGTGGGAAGAGATCCCGGGGGGGTTGGGAGATGATATGGGTACAAGCCCCATGGACTGGGAAATGGGAGCAAGTGAAGGTCCCCCACGAGGAAGCTGAACGGAGATGGCATCAAGGACAACAGCCCTGCCCGTCGTACTGGGGAGAGACAGAAGCGAAGGAGTGGCGTCATCGCCTGAGAGAGGAGAGAGAAGCGGTGGCGAGAGAGTTAGAAGCAAAGCGGGCATGGCATCTCGCCGAGTTACAGAAGATGGTGGTCTATGCTCGCCGAGTTACAGAAGATGGGGGTCTACGTGGACCGTGGCTGGCCAGTCCAGGAGAGAGCTATCCCATCTGGGGCTGGAGCAGGGATGAGGAAACCCTTCCATTATTAGAGCTTGAGGCCGAAGAAGGGGGAGAACCGGGGCCAGAGAAGGTATTATCTGGTCCGTGGACACTGGAGGGTACAAACCCGTTTGTTGGTAACGTTCGGACTCCTTTTAAGTTTCAAACTCAAGAGAATATTGAGGCTGTTCCGTTAGAAGTTCCTGTTGATGTTGTTGTTTTAATAAATGAAGATAAAGTTGAACCACTGAATGAATCTGGTACTTTATTAACTGCGGCTGCCCCGGCAAACACTGAACCCTCACAGCTATCATGTCCCATCTCAACCTTCTTTTTGTAAGGCTAAACATTCCCAACTCCCTAAGCTGCTCCTTGTAGGGCATTGCTTCCAGACCTTTAACCATTTTAGTCACCCTCCCGTATTCTAAGCTCAGAAAGGAATTAACTCTGTGAAAGGCTTTCCTGGAACCATCTATCCCCTGAGGAGGTGAGAAGTGTAAACTTGGTGAAAAGCATTAACATGTGAGAGGACACATGTTCCCCATCTTTGTAAAAAAAAAAAAAGGATCCTTGCATTGAACTGAAACAACAGAGGGGAAAAAAAGGTTCTCTCTATTATCACAGCTCATGGAATGGGAGAATCCTTAGAAAGGGGCTGTGGTGGTAATGTGTCAGTTTCAGCTGAAAGAAGGCTGGACAAGAAAGTTTCTATTCCCTTAGAACAGGAAACAGGCCCTTATCAACTTGATTTAGATAATACTGCAGTTGTCAATGTTTGTGTGCAAAAGGGGCAATGGAAGAACAGATCTTTTAGGGCTTTGAAGAGTTTGTCTCTGAAACTGTTTTTACTGAACCTTTCATACCTCTACAAAGGGGGGGGGCACTTTGAAAGATAGTGCTGTCTTGATACACTTCAGTTACACAGACTTTGGGGGATTTTATGTTCTGCCACAGATTCATGTTCTGGCTCCTTGGTAAAACTCGTGTGCAAATGGCTTTTGTGTTTGTTTGACAGCATCCTATCTGAGATGAGTTTGTATTACTGTTGCTCTTTTTGTTCCGTGATTCAAAATGTCAAATCATTGCAAGGTCAAGAGTGTTTCCAATGCTGATTTAGAAAAAAACTGCTGAGAACTCGGAGAA